AGATGAGGGAGAGGAAGCCTGGCTCAGCAGTGAACCCACAGGTGTGCCGCCAAAGGAAGTGTTTTTTTTGGTTGCACATCAAGCAGAGGAGGAGCCAAGAGCACCAGCGGGGGTCCCCAGAAGAGAAGATTCAGGGCCCCTCCATGCAATGCCTTTACACAGAGCAGGTAAGTATAAACCTGTTTGTTATTTTAAAAAAACCCAAAAAAAAACTTTTCAATCACTTTAACAATATGGTACACTGTAAGACCCCTTTTTTGGAAACTTGCAGAATTATCTCCTGTACTTCCACCTCTACACTGGAGTTGCACCCCTGGGATCACAGCTGCCTCATGGCAAGGTTACAACACCAGTGTCCTTCAGGAAGCTCTTGCAGCTAAGCTGACTGATCTCACAAGATTCCACTAAATCTCCCAAGATGTTATAGAAAATCTTCATTGTTTATATGATGCTTTGGCTTCAGCAACGTGAATGCCAGGTAGTGTAACACAGCTTAGGTTGCCTTAGCCATGGCAATGTATAGACAATAACAAACAGCGGCAGATCTTGTACAATTTGTACGCGAGGTCTGGTGCTTACATTATCGCTAGGCCAGTGCAAAGAACAAAGAAGAATCTGGCCGCTAATGACATAAACAAGTCAAAATGATGGTGCGGGATGAGAAGAGGAGATTTAGCATGTGGCAACCAAGAAAGCAAGGAGACATTAAAATTAACAAATTAACTTAGATGTGTTCATTTTGCTCTTTTAAATATTATGATGGCAACTTGATATTAGGGATGGGGGGGCGCTTTAAAACTAATTTAAAGTGGAACTAAACTGAATCTGAGCAACACAAACGGAAAACTCTAAATAGTTAGCACTTTCGCCTGGCAGTACTAGGGTCCTTGGTTCGAATCCCAACCATGGCACCACCTGCCTGGAGTTTGCATGTTCTCTCTGTACCTGTGTGGGTTTCCTCTCGCTACTCCAGTTTCCTCCCATACTCCAAAGACATGCTGGTAGGTTAAAGCAGAGCTCCACCCAAAAGGGGAAGTTCCACTTTAAGCCTTTGTCCCCCGCTCCCCATTAAGGATTGGCACCTTTGGGGAGTGGGGGTGGGGGAGCGGGTACCAGAATTTGACAGGTGTCCGATCTCAGTTCCGCTGCCAATCGCCTAGGCGATCGGAAGCATAAGTTATCCTCCCCCCTCCCTCCCCGTAGTCTTCTGGGACACATGACAGGTCCCAGAAGACTACGTGGCCATTCACAAAGCGCAGCGCTTCTTGCGCATGCGCATTGGGAACCTGACTATGAAGCCGCAAACTGTCACAGCAGGGTTCCCACACTGAAGATGCCAGCGCCAGGGAGAAAAGATGGCCTGTGAAACCAGCCATGGTGAGGACACTGCTGGACCGAGGAACAGGTACAGTGGGGATCGAAAGTTTGGGCACCCCAGCTAAAAATTTGTATTATAAAGAAGCCAAGGAAAGATGAAAAAATCTCCAAAAGGCATCACATTACAGATTAGACATTCTTATAATATATCAACAAAAGTTAGATTTTATTTCCATCATTTACACTTTCAAAATAACAGAAAACAAAAAAATGGCGTCTGCAAAATTTTGGGCACCCTGCAGAGTTAATATCTTGTACTGCCCCCTTTGCAAAGCTGAGACCTGCCAGTGTCATGTATTGTTCTCAATCATCGTTTGGGAAGACCAGGTGATGTCAAGCTCAAAGGTTTTAAATGCCCAGACTCATCTGACCTTGCCCCAACAATCAGCACCATGGGTTCTTCTAAGCAGTTGTCTAGAAAACTGAAACTGAAAATATTTTTAACAATGAAAACCAGCGCAAACCCACATATTCAATTGCATTACTCAACTTGAAAAATCATTTTTTTCTAATATAGATATATATAATAAATTATATATAAATAAATTAATATAAAAATAAAAACATTAAATTAAGTTCATAAGTCCAGTGACAAAAAAATTTAAGTGATAAAAAATCGAAAAAGTCCCAGAAAAATATATATATATTTAACAGTCCCGTGACAAAAATAAATCAATTTATAATTATCATTGGATTCTTCCGTGTTACTGATCCCTTCACCATCCACCAGTGCAGAAATCAACATTAACCGCACTCACCAGATATTAGTAAGTCACACGCCTTTCAGGAATATTAAGGGCTCCTGGACCCCCTTTACTTTTGTGAGACCTCCAAATGCTGTTTCCTCTTATATTTGGGTACCTCTTCTGCTTACTCCTCTCACCGAATCCCCCAAAGAGAATCAGGAAAAAGAAAAGACCATAGCGTGATACCGTAGTAATCTCTCCTCCAAATAATCTCTCCAGACCACTCACATTCTTTTGCAGGATATAGCCCGCCTTTTTATTCAAAACAACAATGATTTTCTTCCAAGATGATCCACTTTTCAGGTACATCGACTTCTTATAAGAGACCCCACAGTCTAGTGTGCAGCAGGATGGCAGACCTCAGCTACAGACTCATCTACTAGGCTAAGATGGCCCCTTGGAACGCATCGCTCGGCGTGCGCTCCACTCACTGGAAATGACGTCAGACGACGGACCAGGCAACCGGAAGTGCGTCAACGCATTTCACCCCACCCACAGGGCGTTATCAAGATGATAACAGGGCGTTATCAAGACCACAGGGAACATCTCACGAGTAGAAGGAAAAATTGATTCAATAAAATTTCAGCAAATTTTGGATGGTAACTTGATGCCATCTGTGAAAAAGCTGAAGTTAAAGAGAGGATGGCTTCTACAAATGGATAATGATCCTAAACACACCTCGAAATCCACGGGGGATTACATCAAGAGGCGTAAACTGAAGGTTTTGCCATGGCCTTCACAATCTCCTGACCTCAACATAATTGAAAATCTATAGATAGACCTTAAAAGAGCAGTGCGTGACAGACAGCCCAGAAATCTCAAAGAACTGGAAGACTTTTGTAAGGAAGAATGGGCAAAGATACCTCAAACAAGAATTGAAAGACTCTTGGCTGGCTACAAAAAGCGTTTACAAGCTGTGATACTTGCCAAAGGGGGCAGTACAAGATATTAACTCTGCAGGGTGCCCAAACTTTTGCAGACACCATTTTTTTGTTTTCTGTTATTTTGAAAGTGTAAGTAATGGAAATAAAATCTAACTTTTGTTGACATATTATAAGAATGTCTAATCTGTAATTTGATGCCTTTTGGAGATTTTTCCATCTTTCCTTGGCTTCTTTATGCACATTAATACAAATTTTTAGCTGAGGTGCCCAAACTTTCGATCCCCACTGTAAGTGTCTGTATTTTAAAAGTCAACAGCTACAGTTTTTGCAGCTGCTGACTTTTTTTTTTCAAGTGGAACTCCACATTAATCGGATCCTGTCTAAATTGGCCCTAGTATGTGTATGTATGAATGTAAGTTAGGGACTTTAGATTGTACACCCTATTGAGGGTTGGGGACTGATGTGAATGTACAATATATATATATATATATATATATATATATATATATATATGTGTGTGTGTGTAAAGACACTGTGTAAATTGACGGCGTTATATAAGTATCTGTAATAAATAAAATAATGAATAAATGTAATTCATTTTTAATATTCAAAGCAAACTCACCCCATGTCCACATCCATGTCTCCATGCTTTATTTTGTTGAGAAATCACTTTGAAAAACGCCCCCTAGAATCACTGGCTGTGGCCTTCATGACTAAGGACATTCATGGTGCATTTACTTCCAGGAATATATTTACCCTTAACGCGAACATGCAGGCAGGAAGGTGTGCTTAGAACTTCTTGAATAAACTGGAAAAGACATACTAATCTCTGCCCAGGAAAATACTACTTAATGCAGACATGCATAACCTCCTCTCAAGGAATTTTTCTATAAAGATTTTACTACAAAAGTTATCAATAATGCATGGGCATAGCAAATGTGTGAAATGTCTAAATCTTTCCTCTAAACAACAATTAAGATTACAAGTGTTCCAGCCGCTGCTTAAAGCCGAAAGAAACACCGGAGCTAGTCTTGAATGTGAGCATGATGCAATACTGTATGTAGAATGTCCTGAGAAAGAGCTATACAGTCTGCTGTGGTGATAATGATATAGCCTTCCCGAAGATGCAGCTAGTGTCATGATGAACACGAGGAAAAATAGGAGCTGATGTAACAAAATACAGGATGTGCCTTTGTTTGTCATATTTCCACGACATACAGTTTCCTTGCTAATTAATGAGTGAAGATAATTAGTAAATAATTACTTGTTAAACTATAAAGCTGTTTATAGTGTAATAAAGAATATGTTACCCTAACACTTCATATTCCAGATATGTGCTTATGTTTAAAAGTATCCTCTTTGTTTTGCTTCCTTTGAGTGAAATACCTGGTGATCCTGCCAGTCCCTCTGCTTTTCTATTTCAAACTGACCACACTAGGCATGGGAATCACATCCATCCCAGAGTGGTCAGTTTTCTGTCTTTGCTGGGAGAACAGCCTACCTGTCCTCTAATGATCAGATGTGTGCTGCTACATCTCTCCCCCACACAGTCATTCACTGGGAAGATCAGTGTACTGCTGTTTATTTCTGTGTTTCCACTCAAGCCTCTTATGGAGCTGAGAATAGAGGCCGTGTGATCATTTATAAAGAATTAAAAAGAAAAGTATTTATAATGGTATTTTCTATATACACACAAATGTTTTTACTTTCATTTCTATTTTAAACTGAATAGGTTGTTTTTCAAGGAAAGGATTCACATATACCTGAAATAAGTAGGGGGAATATTTGGAATGGTCACACCGCTTCCTGAACTGAATCAGATTGAGAGAAGCTTTAATTTTTAGGGATATCACTTTTATAGCCTTTATTAAATGTGCCGTTAACTCCAAAACATGAAATATAAATGTATATATATATATATATATATATATATATATATATATAAATCCAATCACCTCCATGGCCACAGATCTATAAAATCAAGCACCTAGGCATGCAGACTGCTTCTACAAACATTTGTGAAGGGATGGGTCACTCTCAGGAGCTCAGTGAATTCAAGCATGGTACTATGATAGGTTGTCACCTGTGCAATAAGTCCATCCATTAAATTTCTTTGCCACTAAATATTCCACGGTCAACTGTTAGTGGTGTTATAACAAAATGGAAGCAACTGGGAATAACGGCAACTCAGCCACGAAGTGGTAGGCTATGTAAAATGACAGAGCGGGGTCAGTGCATGCTGAAGCACACAGCGTGCAGAAGTCGCAAACTGTCTGCAAAGTCAATAGATAAGAACTTCAGATTAGCACAACAGTGCGTGGAGAGCTTCAGGGAATGGGTTTCCATGGTCAAGCAGCTGTATCCAAGCCGTACATCACCAAGTGCCATACAAAGCGTCTGATTCAGTGGTGTAAAGCACACCGCCATTGCACACTAGAGCAGTGGAGACGTGTTCTCTGGAGTGAAGAATCACGCTTCTCTGTCTGGCAATCTGATGGAATTGTCTGGGTTGTGCCAAGTGTAGAGTTTGGTGGAAGGGGGATTATGGTGTGTGGTTGTTTTTCAGGGGTTGGGATTGGCCCCTCTTAAGGCGTCAGCATACCTAGACATTTTGGACAATTTCTTGCTCCCAACTTTGTGGGAACAGTTTGGGGGTGGCGCCTTCCTGTTTCAACATGACTGCGAACCAGTGCTCAAAGCAAGGTCCATAAAGACATGGCTGAGAAAGTCTGGGGTGGAGGAACTTGACTGGCCTGCACAGAGTCCTGACCTCAACGCGATAGAACACCTTTGGGATGAATTAGAAAGGGGACTGCGAGCCAGGCCCTCTCATCCGACATTAGTGTTTGACCTCACAAATGCGCTTCTGGAAGAATGGTCAGACATTCCCATAGACACACTCCTAAACCTTGTGGACAGCCTTCCCAGAAGAGTTGAAGCTGTTATAGCTGCAAAGGGTGGGCCAACTCAATATTGAACCCTATGAACTAAGACTGGGATTCCATTAAAGTTCATGTGTGTGTAAAGCAGGAGTCCCTATACCTTTGGCAATATAGTGTGTATATATATATATATTTATGCCCCGTGCAATGGCGAAAAACTGCATACATTTTTAATATCCATAGGCAATGCTTTAAAAGCCTTTAAAAGCTACCATTTTAGATTTACAGAGGAGGTCTAGTGTTAGAATTACTGCCCTTGATCTGACGTTCAGGGCGATACCTCACATGTATGGTGCAATCACTGTTTACATACCAGCACAGGGTCTACGCTCATGCACACAGGTGTGCATGCATGGGAGGGGCGAGTTTTTTTTTTTTTTAAGTTATTTTGATTTTTTAAATTATTTTTACACTGTACCTTTCATTTTTTTTTATCACTTTAATGCTATCACAGGGAATGCAAATATCCCCTATAACTTCAATGGGCATTGTCATCTATTCTTTTTTGAGAAATCTGGGGTCTGTCAGGCTCTAGATCTCTCCTCTGCCCCTACATTATCTAATCAAACCAAGATTGGTGTGATCAGATGCTTTCCCAATTTACAAATGGCACTGTTTATATCCTGCAAAACTGAAGTGATGAAATGCTCGTAGCTTCCGAATTCTTAAACTATAGAGATGATTGGCACCACTCTGGTCTCCAATCAGCTCTATGGTCAGCTGGCAGAAACACCGACTGCATTCTCAGGTTCCCCCGATGGCACGGGACTGACCAAGAAGGCCGTGGAAGGCAGCGGGGGGGGGGGGGGGGGGGCATCATATCCTGCTGCTTGTAAAACCAATCCTGCAGCTAATTAGTCACAAGGATTGTTTTTACATGATCGCCGACGGAAAAAAAAACAATACCAGGATGATGCCTGCAGCTGTAGGCATCATCCTGGTATATAACCATTCAAAGTCCAGTGATGTACCAGTACGTCGCTGGTCCTTGTTGGGTGTATATGCTATGTTGTTTTTTTATTGTATGCAGCCTGTGGACTGAATGAAAAAAAGAGAAGAAATCTCTGCCAGAAAAAGTGTGTGGTATGCCCACCATTAGAATATACCGCCCTATATCCACCCACTTCTAATGGTGGGCACACATTTGGAGGTCACACTTTGCCACATGCGCCAGTTCCAAATTGAACAAATGTCTAAATAGTGGCACGCTTGAATAAAAATTGTCCACATATAAGTGGTACCCCATATGGAAAAAGGATGACACCAAGTCCCAAACTATCTTGTCACTGCTCCCCATGTAGTCTGGGCAGCCGGGGGGGCTCCACGTGACTATCTTTTCCCTCGTAAATGCGAAACTTATAAGTATAGCCTGTTGTCCTCTAACAGGTCTTCTACATCTTGACCCCATATCTGGCACGCTTGCTGGGGAGAAATTGTTTGAATGCAAGGCGGCCAGAACAATTTATCAGGGACTCATCAATGCAGATGTTTTGCTGGGGAGTATAGACATCTGCAAATTTTTGGTTAAGGTGATTTGCGAGGGGCTGAATTTTGTGGAGCCAGTCAAATTCAGGGTCACCCCGAGGATGAGCGAGTGTATTGTCGTTGAAATGCATAAAACACATTATGCTCTCATATCTATGCCTGGTCATGGCAGAAGAGGACACGGGCATATGATGAATCGGGTCTGTGGACCAATACAACCGCAATTCATTTCTTTTAGTAATGCCCATGTTGAGGGTTAGGCCCAAAAAAATGTAAATTCAGAAACCGTAATGAGTTTCCATGCGACTGGTCTGGCAGGGTTTGAATTTGGGTTGGCGGAGATAAATTGTTGTGCATATAAGTTGCTTTGATCCACAATCAACGCATACAGATATTCCGTGAAAAACAGCTCCAAAAATCAAGGGGAGTAGTTAAAATTGCTATTTCCACCTGAATTCCAGGTTGGGCAGTGAATGGGAGAAGTACGGGTGGTGCAGAATTTGTGGGCTGTCAATCGGGATTTGCAAGCTCATCCGGAAGCTACGGGAGCTCTATGGGCTCGGGATGAGCATCGGGATACTAGGAGCTCTATGGGCTCTATTTATATAGTGCCAACAGTTTGCTCAGCGCTTTACAGTATAACAGGAGACAATACAGCAACAATACAGTTCAATACAAGAGGTTTAGGAGGGCCCTGATTTTGGGAGCTTACAATCTAAGAGGTATGTGAAAGACCAAGATGTACTAGACCGCTGGTACTCGGCAGTTCACCAAAAGGTAGCGCGGCACTAGTACTGGCACTCTGCTGCATATGAGAGTCATCAAAATTTACCGGCAAGTGCTAACAGAAATCAGGCCTGATTCTGCGAACACTGCGGTTTTGTGTGCAATGTATCAAGTGACAGTGACCTACTGAAACTGCACTTGCTGGGGGAGCAAGCGTAGGGGCTAAACGCAGGTGCTGGCAGGTGCCGGGGCTGATCCCACTAACGCTGCATTTTTGGGGATGCTATACTAATGTGAACGCTGGTATAGTGCTGATCTGATCAAAGATATTGATTCGTTCAGACACTATACTAGCAATGGAGGTTTATTGAGCGTCTTCCTAGCAATCAAGGGGTTAAATGTGATGACTGGTGTACTGAGGGGCAATCTGAAGCCATCTGGGAGTGGCGTGAAAATGTGATTAATATGTGACTACTTTAGCAGTATTTCTGCTATAGGGCGGTCAGGAAGCTGTTACAGAAGCTGTTTCTGTTATGGCGCTGTGTTACTTTAACTGACAATTGCGCGGTCATGCACTGCACCCAAATTAAATTTACGTCCTTTTTTCCCACGAATTGAGCTTTCTTTCGGTGGTATTTGATCGCCTGTGCGGTTTTTATTTTTTGCGCTATAAAAAAAAAGGCTGACAATTTTGTGAAAAAAAAAAACAATATTTTGGACTTTTTGCTATAAAACATGTCCAGTAAAAAAATGTAAAAATCAAATTTCGTCATAAATTTCAGCCAAAATGTATTCTGCGACATGTCTTTGCTAAAAAAAATCCCAATACGTGTAAATTAATGTTTACATTAAAGTTATAGTGTCTACAAATGGCGGTATAGATACTGGGATATTTTTTATTTTTTATTTATTTATTTTTTATACTAATAATGACGGCGATCAGCGACTTATGGCTGTGATCAGCGATTTATGACAGTGATCAGCGACTTATGGCAGGACTGTGGTGGACATTTTGACACTGGGGGGGAACTGACTTGGGGTCACTGACATCCCCAGTGACACCCATACAGTGATTAGTGCATAAAAAAACACTGACACTGTACTAATGGCACTGGGGAGGAAGGGGTTAACATTTTTATTAAATTAAAGGGTTAACTGTGTGAGGGTAGTGTTTTACTAGTGGGCGGGGGGTGTGTACTACACAGGAACACACTGATCCCGAGAGTTAAACTCCCCTCTCAGAATCAATGTGTTAGGTACTGACAGGGAGCAGAGCTGCATTATAAACAATGCAGCTGTGCTCTGTGTCACTGTTTGCCGGCAATCGGCGGGAAAAGGCAGGTAATGACTGGCCGGGACCCGGTGATTGACACCCGCAGCAGCGATCGGCGGCACGGGTAGGGCGGTCGTGCGCCTTGCGCGCACCCCCTACTTGTTTTGCAATATCACGTTTTAAAACGTGATTTTGCCCAGCAGTGCCACCTTGTGGCCATTTTTCCACAGTGGCTGGACGGCAAGCAGTTAATTGTACAAGATTCTGAGTGTACCAGTTTAAGTAAATCTACCCCATAGCATACATATTGAAAAAAGCCGCCCTAGATTTTTCTTCAGGGAAATAAAAGGGTGGAACTGAGAAAAAAGCTAAACAAACATTGGACCGCCATTGGATCCAGACACCCCATTCACTGTTTCTATGGTTTCATGGCTTTACATAAATGTGGTAATATTGTTCTCAGTTTTCATAAGTCGGTTTTTATTTAGAAGTGTGCAGCTTTATAGTATCTAGGAAAACAACATATTCTGAAGCCAATTCAATTCTTCATAAATAAAATCTGGAAAATCTCTTAGATTGTAAGCACCAAGGAGCAGGGCCCTCCTAACCCTCTTGTATTGAACTGTATTGTTGCTGTATTCTCTCCCTTTATAATTTAAAGTGCTGAGCAAACTGTTGGCGCTATATAAATCCTGTATAATAATAATAATAATAATAAACACTTCCCCAATGTGATATTAGGTGTTTAGATCTATATGATACATGTACCGGTAAGTTCTCTATGTATTAAAGTAGAAGTCCATCTAAACCTTTATTTTAGCTTAGCATAGAGTGGGGAACCTCTGAGGAATCAGGTTTTTACCTCTGATGGATCAGGTTTTTATTTTTGTCTGGCACACAGATAGCAAAAAAAATCTGACACATTAGAACCCTTTAACACTAACATATAGACATTGTATATCAATCTCAATACAATGTATTTATTCACTTTTCTGCATTTTCGTTATTGGA